TTAATTTGTTTAAAGTCGCATAAACTACTAAGGTCATGAGCGACTACGGTAGGGGGTAAACTTTTGAGATTGGAACTCGTTTGTATTTCTTGGACTGAGTAGAATAATACACTTAAATATTGAAAATATTCATTGGTGTACGCCGGACTCGAACCCGGTCCAATGCTTTGGTAGCATCCGGGCCGGATCCGATAGGCTACTGCGCGCCTAAAAATTTTATTAAAGAAATTTTTTTAGTAAAAAAAATATTTTATTAGTTTTTTTTTATAGAAAATTAAAAAAATTTTTTTATATAAAAAAACATTTTTTTTTATTAAAAAATATATTTAAAAATTTTTTTTTTGTTGTTTTTGTAAAAAGTTTTATTTATTTTATTTTTTTTTAATAAAAAAAATTTTTCTTAACATTTTTAGAAAAAAAAATTAAGAAATAATTGTTTTTAATTTTTGATAAAAAAAATTTTAATTAAATTCTAAATAATTACGTAATAAATTAGCCCTTAAGCTATTAGCTTGACCATTATGCTAAATCACAATCTAAAAACTCGTACTTCTTGTCTAACTCCCAAAGCAAAATTTTATCCAAAGCTAGCACAAGTAATTATATAAAAAAAAAAAAAATTAAGGAAGTGGTTCAGTATTAGCATAACCAATGGGTCAGCCAGTCTTCAATCAGACTTAAATAAAATTTTTTGGAGTTCCTTCACCTCTAGACAAATAGAACAATAATTGGCCCGTAATAAAAACTCAAACCCGCTATTTCTTCGTTCAATAAACGAAAAAAGTACATATAAATTTATTTACTTACTGTTTAATAAAATTTTTAGGATCTACGCACTAATTCACCCACAAAGTTGTTCACTTTTCTAAAGAAAAAAATCTGCGAATTATCCATTCGATACAGAAATTTTTGGCAATACTGTCTTCGATACTATTAATCACTAGATCACAATTATCGACAATAGTCCAAAAAACTGCAACAAATGTTTATGTGAAGAAGCTAGATGGTAGCTTGTTAAAAGGGCGCTTGGAAATGAGCGATCTACGGAAAGATCCGCGGATATATGTGCGCCGGTTGTGGATCTTTAAACAACAGAGCAACAACTACGTGTAAAGAACGTCATCGGAGCTTGAAAAGAAAGAAAGAAGACGAAAAGGACACAACATAGAAGCATTCGGATGAATATAAACAGGAGAAGGTGTATGTCCGAGTGTGTATAATATCAGATACGCATGAAGATGATGGGGAAGATTTAAATGGACCAGCTTCTCTGCAAGGTGGAAAGGGAAGTTTAAGATTCTCGCGCGTGTTCTAAAGAGAGACAGTAATTATAATAACTGCCATCCGATCGGTAAAAATTTAAACGTGTAAAGCACGTATATGACGATACTGATAAAAGGAATAAAATTACTCGTCCTCGATCTTTGTACTTAGTATTACCGATTTTATTTATTTCTTTCTCTTGTTAACTATAAGTGTTGTACTTTCCATCGGACAAACCGATCGGAGACTCGTTTCAAGGTGACGGTTCTTCTGGTTTGTTAATTAAATTTTTTTTTTAAGTTCAAATTACAATAATTCGTTTTGTAGTTAGTCTAAATTGTTAATCATTTTTTTTATAAAGTAATTTTTTTTTATTTTATGGTAATTTTTTTTCGTTATTGAATTTCCCATGAATTCTGACAAAGAGGAACACACTTAACGGGTAAAGTGTATAAATATTTTTATTAACGCGTTAATCAGTGTCAAATTATTATTATTATTTGATAAGCTTAAAAATTAATAATAATAATAATAATAATAATAATAATAATAACTAGCAACCTTGCAGTCACTATGTGACTGTCGTGACTTGTGAACTATAAATTAATAAAATTTTGCTTTATTAAATAATGACTTTAGTTAAATTGCACTGTACTTTTTTAACTATTGACATTTTTAATGATATAAGCTCATTCCGATGTTACACTCATCAAAAGCTTTCATTTGAGTACCCACATGCATTTTGATATATTTTTCATAAATACATATATATAATATATATAAATATATAAAAAATTGATGTGAGTACTCAAATGAAAGGTCTTGACGAGTGTAACATCGGGATGAGCTTATATCTTTAAAAATGTCAGTAGTTAACAAGATACAAGGACATTTCTTAACTATTAACATTGACTAACATTTCTTAACTATTAACTTTTAACTATTGACATTTTTAATGATATAAGCTCATTCCGATGTTCACACTCATCAAAAGCTTTCATTTGAGTACCCACATGCATTTTTGATATATTTTTCATATATTCATATATATATAATATATATAAATATATAAAATATATGAAAAATTGACGTGGGTACTCAAATGAAAGGTCTCGATGAGTGTAATGTCGGGGTGAGCTTATACCTTTAAAAATGTCAGTAGTTAACAAGATACAAGGTCATTTTTTAACTATTGATATTTTTAAAGATATAAGCTCATCCCGATGGTACGCTCATCAAGAGTTTTCATTTGAGTACCCATATGCATTTTGATATATTTTTCATATATACATATATATAATATATATAAATATATGAAAAATTGATGTGGGTACTCAAATGAAAGGCCTTGAGGAAGGTAACATCGGGATGAGCTTATATCGTTAAAAATGTCAATAGTTCACAAGATACAAGGTCATTTCTTTATGTGTCTAGAGATAGAGTATTTTCGAATGCAGCCTTAATACTTATCATAATAAATTGACATATCGGTGAGAATGATATGAAACCTTAAAAAGGCACAAATTCAAGTCAAGACCTTTCCAACGATATCAAATTTTACCATAAAACCCCATTTTATCTTATAAATACACTGGCCACAAAATTTTACTTATTCTCTTAATAATATAGATAATAAAAAAAAAATAATAATTTAAAAATCTTGATATTATTATTAAAATTTTTTTTTCTTAAGGGTTTTGACACTACAATAAAATAAAAAAAATTTGATAATGAATAAGGAAAAATATATAAATTTTTGTCTGATATGATCATTAATAGCCAGAAATAAAAGCAAGGTGATGATAAAAAATTTACATCACTCAATTTTTTTTAATTTTTAACATTTTCATGTGAAATACGTGTTTTGTAACGTAATAACAATTAAAATTTGTCATTTCGAAAATTCCAAAGGATTGATATTAATATACAATGAATTTTTATGAATTTGCAGAAGCATCCGGAGTGAAAAGCATGGCCTTGATCTGAAGGTTCAAGTTGAAAATTGATCTCGCTTGTGCAGCTCGGAACTATTGAACTCTAGCTTATTATTTCACCGTTAGAGTTCACGCTGGAAATTGCGCGTCCAGGTATGCATATTTTATTGTTTTATCCTGTCATTAATTTTTTTAATCAAAATTCTAAAGATAAAATTAAAAAATAATTGGATTAATATCCAGAAACAGTAAATTAAATTTTTTTCTACTTCCTGATACAGAATGATCGTCAGTAAATCTTACTTTTTTCAAACTATTACATAATCCAAAATTAATGCAGTATAAAAAATTTTTCTTGATCGATCTGACATTTAAAAGACACATTAATTTTTTGATCATTAAACCCGTGTTTATATTTTTTGTAGAGCCGAAAATTCTTCTGCAAAATGTGGAATTAATTGACACACTAAAAAACTGTTGGGATTCTATTTTTCGTCCAATTACGTCGAATGATTTGTTTTATAGTCGATAAATAATCGGGATTTTTTCAACTTATACAGAAGAGTTTTATATTATCCTCATAGCAGGCGTGAAAGATAACTAACTGACATGAAAATTTCAGACTGTTTATTTTATAATTCATCCATTCAAAAATTTTAAAAATCACCTTGCGTCAAAGAGGATTACTCATCATTGCACTGTTTTTTGATTAATAAATCAGACTATTTATATATTTTTCATTATAATTATAATCTTACAATAAAAGTAACTTTTTTTGGAATTCAACTTTTTAAAATATTCCAATTTAAATAAATTATATTCTTACGTCACTGATAAAAATGTTATTAAGAAAAAAATTTCTAAAAATAATTGAAGATATGTAAATATAATTTTTCCAGTATTTAAATTTATTTATCTACTACACAGAAAAAAAAATTAACTTGATTCAAGACGAAAAATTCTTGAATCAAGTAAAATTTACTTAAACCAGTAACAATTTCTTAGTTTAAGAATTTTTTTACTCAAATCAAGAAGATGAAGTTCTTCAAAATTATATTCTTGATTCAAGAAGATTTTTTTTATCCATGTAATTATTCTACCTAATATTTATTGTAACTTTTAATGTGCAATCATTATAATATTCCCGTATCTTTCTTAGAAAAATAAAAAATAATTGATATGAAAAAAAAAATTTGTAATGAGCATTGAAAGTTTCAGTTAAAGAAATTGCAGGTCCCATAAGTGAAGAAATCTGTCTAGTATATAAACATAGAATTAAAAAATTTATTTTAAATAAATTACAAACGAATAAAATTAATTTAGTTACAATAAAAATTCAATATTTCTAAGTCAAAAAAATATAGGTTCCGGATAAGTAATAGCCAACACATCATATACTAAAACCTTCTCTGAAACACGCTATATCTTATGATATAAGCATTATTCCGATCGGTTCAGTAGTTTTCGCAGTATAACCGAACAAGAAAACCGGCTCGGAATATTTTTATTCCAAGTTTTCGTTAAAATTTTTGGACAATAATAAAACCAAAAATCCGACATTTAATTTACGGCTCTAAAATAAATAAAATCCCCTACGTTATAAAAATTCCGGGGTGGTAAAAAAACAGGTTAACCATCTTCATTTCTCACTCACTTGCTTTTATTTTTATTTACAATAAAACTTTTAAAGTCTAACATTATCCGCCCACGCGTTTGTCCGGTGAATCCTAAAAGTGTATTTAATGCTTGACACTCCGCCCCATCAAAGATATTTTACAATAAATATGAGTATATTGTATTAATTTTTTTATTTTACAATTAATAATAAATTATCAATGGATTCCCCCCCCAGAAGTGGACGTGCTACTTGCCTCATTCCTTCCTATTGCGTTTTTCTCGACTAGTTTTGCTTGAATCTTTTGCGATTAGCGTTTTCCGATCGAGAGTGGAAATCTAATTAAAAAAAAAACTCATAAAATAATAATAATAATAATAATAATAATAATAATTTCAAAAATCTTGATTTTATTATTATTATTATTATTATTATTATTATTATTTTATTGCTAAAAACTTGAAAATTTCTCATTATTATTATTAATAATAACAATAATAATAATATCAAGATTTTAAAAAATTATTATTATTAAATAAATTTTTTTAAAAAATCTAAATTTTGATAATAATACTAATAATAATAAAAATTTCCATTGATGTGTTGATACAATTTTTTTACTAACGCGTAATCAATGTCTTCTTTAACGAGATCTTTAATAAAAAATTAATTGAAGCATAAATAAATTATGATAATAAATATTGTATTTTCATCGCAATTCTAGAATCCGAAGGTGTAAACATGTGGATAGTGCCTGGCTGATCGAACATGACAAGGAACAAGAGGATAAATATATGCACATACGGTATATAATAAACAGATAGACGTTTGAATAAATAAGAAGATTTACTCTCACTAACGCGGTAAGTAAAGGAGTGTCTTTATATATTTTACCAGGTTTAGTTATGATTCCTGATAACAGTAATTCGACCCCATTACATTTACTATTTCCCGATACCCATTTTTAGAGATAAATTATCATTGAATTACTTGTCAGAATCGGGAAGAGATAATTTTTTGATCTTTGTTATTTGTTTAGCTGAAATTTTATAAGATATTAATTTTTTACGCGCTTTGAGGCGTGCAAAAGTTAAATTTTTGGTTTTTAATTTGACAAAAAATTTATTTTTAAGATTTTTAATAAAAGAAATTTTAAATATAATTTTTATAAAAATTTTAGCCAGCAAAATTTAATAATAAAAAATTTATTTCTATAAAAAAAAGATATTTTAAATAATTAAAAAATTTTTTCTTATGAATTGTGTAATTATTTTTACACCCGAAAAATATATCCTGGTATCTTCATAAATAATTATCCCCTTGTGTATATTTTTACACCAATTCAGTGTTAAAAGCTTCTTGGAATCGGAAAGAAGGAAATTTACCTCAAAAGAATAAAAAAATAAACAACCAAATAAAATAAAAAACAAACCTTTAAATAATGAAAATAATGTTTGAGACGCGGAAAAATAATAATAGCAAGCATATAATTTTTTTCCAGACCATTACAGTGAACTTCGACATGAACTGGACAGAAAAAATTGTTGAAACCGGCTGTTTGTTTATGAACCATCCACAAATAGTTAACTATTTTTTTTATTAATAAAATTATGATAGATAATCTACAAATTGTTATACAAAAAATCTGCCGCATAATCATAATATTAATGAATAATGTCCTGTCATTTTTTAACAATCGTCGGAGAGATGAATACAAAACAGCACATAAAAAAAATAACAAGAAAATCAATGAAGAAAAAGTTATTTACTTTTATTTAGAGTCATCTACGTCAATAGCCTCTTCATCACAATGATACTAGTTTATTTAGTTTCTTCGAATGCTTAGTCATATTTTTATCGGGCCCAAAAATGATTAATAAGAAGTAGCGACTTGCTTTAATTAATGTGTGAATGCACAAAATTAGGATTAAAAATTTTTACATATTTTTTATTTATATATACATATTTTAAAACACAATTGACATTTCTTCTTTTAATTTTTAATTTTTTTTACAGGAAAAAATTTTGGAAACTAATTATAAAAATTTTGATTAAGAATTAGAAGTTAAATTAATTTTTAAAAATATATTAAACGATTTTTTTCAAGTTATAAAAAATGAAACAATTTTAAGAAAGAAGAATAAAAATTTTTGAGTTACTTTGTTTTGAAATTAACCGAAAAACATGCAAACAATGGAAAGGTACTAATTCCGGTCAAGACCTTTCTTATTTAACTTAAAAAAATTCCTTATTCTCTAAATAATATAAAATTCTATTTATAAAAAGTTGTACTGCCTATTTTAAAGTTAAAAAAAAATAAAACTTTCCATTGTTTGAATTTTAATACAAATTTTTACATAAAAAATATTATTCTGTAAACAAGTATGATACATTTTTTTATAACTGAATAATTTCTTCAGTTAACTAATTACAAAAAAAAAATGTATCGCCGTATGAAAATTTTAATTTATTTTAATGACATCCTGAGATGTAAACAGTTCATAGAAAATTTTTTTCGTCTAAATGATAAAAAAAACTGCGGAATAAAACTTTAGAAAATTCTTTATAGTCTTCTGGAATTTCCCGACTATAAATAGGAATTATGCTCAATTTTTTTGAATGACTACTTAGTTATTAAAATATTTGCATTATTTTAAGAAGAGCAGTATGGCTTTAGAACAACAAATTTATCGGTGAGAGCTGCCACCTGTTAGCAAAAGGTGGACTTAGGGAGCTGGTTCGCGGAACAGTTGGTACCGCAGAGTTCCTTAGAAACAAAGTTTAGTAAAATTTGATATTTATTTTACTAACAATAATTAAGTATCACAATTTTTTTTTAATTAACTAATTAATAAAATAAATTGATAAATAATTAGAATAAGAACAGATCAAGATTTGTTAAAGAAGATAAATAATTGATCCTTGAAATTTTACAATTATTAATTCCAAGTGATCTAAAGATTGTTTAATTTAAAATAATCATATTAATGTAATATAATGTGATATAAATTGAGTATTTAAAGATTGAAAGATAAAAACACAGTTATTAAAATAAATATAAAATTAATCAGTGCCATTGGAAAATAATATGAGCTACGAGAAGATATACAGTTGCCGTTAGAAGACTACCAATCGTTATAGGAAATCCCACTCTGGAAAATAACATTAAATTGTTAATTTATTTAATTAATATTATTACAGTTACGTTCGTGAAGCTATTATTCACTCGTCCACATTAACTCTTAGTAATTCAGTTATTATTCAAGTAGCAAAATTTATTTGTGGTGTTAATTATTAGTTTTTTTAATTAGAATTATGCCTTGATTAGCTTCCAAGCAATTATTAATAGTATTGCAGCTTGCAATGAACCTCAAAAATATTTAAAATAAAAAATAGAAAGAAGAAATAGTTAGTTAAAAAATTGCAATATTTGAAATAAAAAAATTAAAGAAGAAATAGTTAGTTAAAAAATTTCAATTTTTTAAATAAAAAATACAAAGAACAAATAGTTACTTAAAAAATTACAATATTTGAAAAAAAAAAATGAAAGAAGAAATAGTTAGTTAAAAAGTTGCAATATTTAAAATAAAAAATAGAAAGAAGAAATAGTTAGTAAAAATATTGCAATATTTAAAATAAACAAAAAGAAGAAATAGTTACTTGAAAAATTGCAATATTTGAAATAAAAAAATGAAAGAAGAAATAGCTACTTAAAAAATTGCATTATTTAAAATATAAAAATCAAAGAAGAAATATTTTGGTTAAAAAATGCAATATCTTTTATTAAAAAGTTGATTTGACGTTTTCATTGTTGTCGCTTTTCGTTGCTATGGTGACCATTTTGGCAACGGCTACCATGGCAACGGTTAAATATTAATGAATTAAATTTGTAAAAATATTAATTAATTAAATGGTTGATAATAGACATGTTGACAGAAGCGCGCAAAGCGCATTCGATTTTCTAGTTTAAAATAAAAAGCAGAAAGAAGAAATAGTTACTTAAAAAATTGCATGAATGTAAACGGATATCCATGTTGTTCAGCGACTCCAGCACAGACAACATTTGCCGTAGCTCCAATGAGAGTCGCATTACCTGCAAAATAACACGCATCCATTCAACAAAAAAATAAAATCACTGATAACACAACAAAATACGCTGATAATAATGTAAATGATAACTGATATCAGTTGGAATCGATGATCAGCAGATAATCTGATAAAAGTTTAAGTGTATATAATTAAAAAGCATCTAGAAAATTCTTTTTTTTTCATCTCATTGATTAACAATTAACAAACAAGATTAAACTTACCTCCCATGCAAGCTCCGTAGGCCAAGGCCCAAACCAGCGGCTGGAGAGGCAGCCCGAGCTCATTATTCTGCGATAAGTTCGTTATGATTCTGATCATCATAGTCGTCAAAGAAACGTTATCTACAAAGGCGCTGGCAATTCCTGATACCCATAAAATCAAAATAATGGCTACGGCTAATCTAAACTCTTCGCGTACTGACAGGATTATTATCTCGGTTTGTTTGCCGATCCAGGCGATCAAGCCCAAGCAAGAAAGTGCCTGAAAAAATGATAAAGTTAGCAATCACTTGATTATCTTTTTATTTTTTTAGCAAATAAAATTGTTCTTAAAAATTGTTTTTAAAAAATTGCAATTTTTATTTTTCTTCTTATCAATTTTTTTTGCCATAATTTATTTGTTAAAAAAATGATTTAAATTTAATAAATATCTGCTAAATTAATTTTCATCTGATAAAATAAGAAAAAAAAAAGAAGAATATTATTTAATACCAAAGCATTGAATTACATAAAGAAGATATATAAGCATCTTTGAAGATAATACTTAAATTAATACCTCCATAAGGATGAACAAAGCCGCAAAAAATATCAAGGTGCTCCACTCGACTCGGGCAAGAATTCCGTCCAAATCTTTAGTGTCCGCCAGGATGAGGATGAGGAAAACTCCCAGCAAGGTCGTCCACCCGAGTGATAAATTAACGTTAGGCAAGTTATGCAGGAAAAAAAGTACTATCACGAAGATTAAAGTAATACTTGTTTTTAATAACATCCATTTGTCGCGTATTTGATACTAAAATGAAGACATATGTTATTAATTTTGAATTATAATTGCAATTGTTAAAAATTAATAATTACCTTGTCTTGAAGTTCTTCGAGCGTTGACCTGTACTTCAACGAACTTATTCTTCCCGTAGTTAATTTGCTGTCTAATGCAGCGCTAAGTGTCTGCACTTTCTGCAGCAAAATGTCGCGCACTAACTTTTCTTCCCGACTGTAACTTGACAAGCTGGCTGCAGCGCGCTGCCAAATCGCGATTTCGTGCCGCATTTCTTGGATTTGAAGAGGCTCGCCGAATTTTAGCAGCTTCGTGTCGTGGAAAATGTGTTTCAGCTGGAAACTTGCGACTATTACGGCCAATACGACACCAATGCTCATGTGTAACACGAAGTTACTGAAATCAACACCCTGTTATACAATAATTGATTTTTGGTTATTTATATCATTGTTAGTAATTGGTTATACAGAGTAAGTTTTTATTCATTAAAAATTTATATTTTGTTACCGCTGCAATGACTTTTTTGTTAGTGGTGATTATAACATTCGGTGGATCACCAACCGGTGTTAGGGTTCCGCCGATATTTGAGTAAATTACCATTGCTGTCAATATTGGAACGGGGTTTAGTTCCATTACTTCACAAAGTCGGATTGTGACGGGTGTCATTAGTAAGACCATTGTTGTGTTGTCAAGAAAAGATGATAAAATTGCGGTGAAGATACAGAGAGTATAAATTAATGGCCAAACTTTACCATTTGTTATCTGGGAAAATTTTTATTGTTAATATTATTATTTCTTCATTGCTAAAAATTTGAAAAATTTCTAATAATAATAACTAGCTACCTTGCAGTCACTATGTGACTACCGTAACTTGTGAATTATAAATATATAAAATTTTACTTTATTAAATAATGACTTTTGTTAAATTGCACTGTACTTTTTTAACCAATGACGTTTTTAAAGATATAAGCATATAATATACATAAATATATAAAATATATGAAAAATTGATGTGGGTACTCAAATGAAAGGTCTTGATGAGTGTAATGTCATGATGAGCTTATATCTTTAAAAATGTCAATAGTTTACAAGATACAAGGTAATTTCTTAATTATTGACATTTTTAAAGATATAAGCTCATCCTGATGTTACACTCATCAAGAGCTTTCATTTGAGTACCCACGTGCATTTTGATATATTTTTCATCTATACATATATATAATATATATAAATATATGAAAAATAGATGTCGCTATTTAAATGAAAGGTCTTGATGAGTGTAACATCGGGATGAGCTTATATCTTTAAAAATGTCAATATTTCACGAGATACAAGGTCATTTCTTAATTATGTATCTAGAGATAGAGCATTTTCGAATGCAGCCTAAATACTTATGATCATAAATTGATTATTGGTGAAAATGGTATGAAACCATGAAAAGGTACAACTCCAGGTCAAGACTTTTCCAACGAAACCAAATTTAACCATAAAAACCAAAATACATTGGCCAAAAAATTTTGCTTATATTCTTTTACTACTATAGATAATAGAATTATGGATAATTAATATTTTTATACCTTATAAGCAAAAACAGCTAAATAATCAAAAAGTCCAGTGTCTCCAAGTATCGCAACAAGAATCATCATTGAAAAAAGTAACAACAACGTATCAATATCAATCCATGAAATTATTTCTGCTGTTGTTGGCCGCTAAAAAATTTTTGCATTAGGTATACTTATAAAATAAAAACCTAATGTGAATTTGAAGTGTAATCTACGGAAAAAATCACACTACCTGATTCAAAAGCGCCAAAACAGCCAAAGACATAGTCGAAGCAAGCATCGCAGCAAGAGCCCGATTGATGACATCAAAAATGATGAAAAAATAAAGTCCAAACAAAATAATCGTTCCATAGAGTAGACCATTATCAGCGGTTGCTGGAGACAGATCAAGAACATACGAAATTTTTAATTTCTTCGGCGAGTTTGTTTCAAAACTCAATCTCAATCTTCCTGCTAATTTTCTATCGTATTTCAAGACGTCCAGCGTTTTCTGCGCTTCTTGTTTTGGGAAGACTTGGAGCAAGTTCAAGGGCAGAATTGGAACCACCCATCTCTCAGTCAGTGCCTATAAATTATTTTTACAAGTAATTTTTTAATGATTTATTATTTAGAATTTTTACTGTTGAAACAATAATAAATACTTGGGAATAATTATCGGTGTTATTATAATCAGCAATTAACTCCAGCCAGACAATGATATGATACGAAGGATTAACGTCATCCGTCTGCAATACGGGGACTAGTGGCCCCTCGAGATTCAACTTAACTTTGTCGCTGATTGGCTCACCTGCTATCTCAATGTCTACATGTGCTAAGGATGTATGTACACATATATTAATGAAGTGTATGTCTATAAATATATAATATCCGAGGAAAGTAAATATTTGATTTTTTTAAAAAAGGATACTGGTTACTCCGTCGCTTTGTATTGATAAGTGATTCATCAGTCCCGGTTTTTCGCTTTTAGTCATCAATAATAACTAAAATAGATTTTTTTTAATATGCAAAAAAAAAAATTCTTAAATAATAGATTTTTTTTTATTTTTACTTACAGTAAATATTAACCAGTATGTTACCAAAAAACCCAATTTTATGTACCGATAAATTGGTTTTACTTTTAAAGAAAATGAGTCCTCAATATCGTTGTATTTTTTTTTGGATCGGTAGTAGCGGCCGCTGCAATTAATTTTTTAGGTTTAATTAAAATTTTATTAAAATACTTTCATATAAAATTTCATTAAGGTAGTTGGATCGTGCGAGCAAAATTTAAAAAAAAGACCATTCGGCGGCCGAAATGGAAGTAGATTTCATCATGAATAGAAAAAAAAATATAACGATGATTGTATATAAAACTAGGGCTTTTAACTTCTATGCAATCGACAAAAATATATATCGACGGAAAAATACTAAAACCAGTGCAATAGCAAATTTCATAATTGGCATAGCGGAATAGGACATAATTTTGAGACTACACATATGATATGGTACTCAAATTGAAGCTTATAAAGAGCTTTCAGATGCAATTTACAGAGTTTCAATAAGTTATCCCATTCAAAAGTTATTCGAGTAAGAAAGTGAAGAAATATGAATTTTTATGATTTTCAAAATTTTGAAATACTGGGATTTCTAAATTACTTGACTGATTAAGCTCATTTTTGAACTTGATCAGTATTTATCTGTAGAATAAGTATGTTGAGTTTAGTAGAGATCCATTGCAAATTGGCGATGCTATCTTTGTGACATTACATTAGTTATGTCGAAATAAAGCAAAATTTTCGTCATGAGGACCAATGCAATAGTTAGATTTCTATGAAATCTACTAAAAACCTTCCAAATTTAACATATAAGTAATTAAATGCATAATACACATGCTGTTAAAATTTGGAGACGATTTACTACTTCTGACCAAAGATAATTGCAATTAAAAATTACATTTTTACACAGGCGGTATGGGAAAAGAGAGAGAAAACCGCGAAGTTCTATTATTTTTGTATTGAAGAAATTTTAATAATTTCACGAAAAACTAATTTTACTTAGATTAATACATATAAAATTATCCTAAAAAATTCTGGAATTCCCTACCACGTAATTCTTGAGAAATCATTGATAAACTAGTAAAGTAAACAAATTAAGTCATACGTGGAACTAAGTGAGCAATAGCCCGTTAAAAAGGCGACCCTAGCGAATGAAAAAGACAGCAGTAGCATAAACTATAGGTTGGGAAAGAACTACCTAAATTAATATTTCATTAAAAAATACTAGCAACCTTGCAGTCACTATGTGACTGCCTCGGCTTGTGCACTATAAATAAATAAAATTTTGCTTTATTAAATAATGACTTTTTTTAAATTGCATTGTATGTACTTTCTTAACTATTGACGTTTTTAAAGATATAAGCTCATCTCGATGTTACACACGTCAAGAGCTTTCATTTGAGTACCCACATACATTTTGATATATTTTTCATATATACATATATATAATATATATAAATATATGAAAAATTGATGTGGGTATTTAAATGAAAGGTCTTGGTGAGTGTAACATCGAGATGAGCTTATATCTTTAAAAATGTCAATAGTTCACAAGATACAAGGTCATTTCTTAATTATGTTAAATTGGACTGTATTTTCTTAACTATTGACGTTTTTAAAGATATAAGCTCATCCCGATAATACATTCATCAATAGCTTTCATTTGAGTACCCACAT